GTGGGGTTTCCGGATGCTGACTGATGGTGCTACCAGGACCGCTGCCTGGAGGAGCCATGCGTGGTGGCACAGTTTCCAATAGCTTTTTTTGCTATTGCTAGTAACGGACGATGGTCCGTTTCGATGGTGATGGACTGACCGTACACAAACTACTTTTCGCATCCATAGGCTATGCCCAGATTTTTTTTTTCATTTTGTGAATATCTGATTTCACCGTCTGTCAATACAACTGAGGCATATCCTACTGGCCGCAATTCTTTCCCGTGCTGCTAGAACAAGGCAGCCCCTAGTGCTACTTTTGATGCGTCTGTTGACAGTTTAATAGACCGATCTCACCAGCCAGTTTGACTACGCCACCGCTGCCGCAAAGCATCGAGGGAACTTTAGTCTTTCTGCGCGTGAGACAACCTCGCTGGAGCTTTGCGCGTGCAGGCCACGAACAGTCTCGTGCACTGCCGATTGCCTCCCATGAACTAAAGTTATGGCTGCCCAAAACCACCTAGACAGAAGGCCTCCACACGCGTCATCATAGTCAGATCGATCGAGGCGAGAGATTGGGCACGAGTGCTGCGTCAGTGTTCGGCTGCGGCTCGTGGCCAATCAGCGCGTCGAAGGTCGGACTCAGGTCCAATAGCCGACCGAGCGAGATCCGACTGTGATGACGTTTCATAGAGGAAGAGGAAACCATGCGGAGGCCTTCTGTCTAGGTGGTGTTGGGCTGCCTCGCGCATGCGTCGAACGCTTGGTGAGATCGGTCTATTGGTTTGGAGGGGTCAAAAATAGCTAATACTGGAGCTTTTGTCAGCATGCGGTTTAATGCACACCACTCACCCGTATGGGTACCGCTCCATTCGAAGACTGAAAGAAGACTAAAGAAGTCTTCTTTAATCAAGAGTCAAAGCAGAGCTGTTCTATCGGATCAATTAGGAAGAAAATTTCGGAAGTAATTTACTGCTCCCAAAAGGCGTTGAACCGTTTTCTTGTTCTTGGGAAGATTGGAGGTCCTGAAGGCACTGTATGAGTTCAGGGTCTGGTTTGATTCCCCTCCTGCTTATGTCGTCGCCAAGGTAGAGTATCGCTTGGAGACCAAACTGGCGTTCCTAGGCATTGACTGTTATTCCGCCTCATCTTGCAGTTCTCAGTGCTGCTCTTAGTCGCAAGTCATGCTCTTCTGAAAGAGCGGGACGTTCAAATAGGCCAATCAGGGCCATGATGAACTTAGCCGAAGACTGGGGCAGAAGGAGAAAACCAATTTTTTACAGTGGAAGAGAAAGTAACAGGGATAGACGACTATTCGCTCTATGGTTTTACCCCGCGTGGTCAAGATGCAATACGTATACCGGGACAGCGTCAACTCTACGTCGACGGTGGAAGGCGCACGGGGAACTCGACACGCGGCACAAACCGTTTCCCAAAGTGTCACCTCTGGATGTGTGTCTCTATGTCAAGCAAGTCATGTGCAGAAATTCGAATGAGTTTAGGGAGCAGTCGCTCGTCAACTCAGTTCACGCTCCCGTTTAATGGACATCAAGAACTGCGACTCAGGGCCCTTCTCTGCTATACTCGTTTTCCCCTCAAGAGAAGAGAGACTTGGGCAGTGTTCATACACCGCGCGAAGTAGTTCTTACACGATTTGGTTGTCGAAGGAAGAAGCGATGCCTATGTCGTTTTAAACGTGTACGGCTCGATCAAATAACATACCTAATCTAAAATGACCCTACATATATCCTAATCCTATACACCAACTCAACTCTCCTACGTCACGCCGCGGTGGTGGCGCGCCGGACGCACTTCCGGTCTGGGGCGGTGGGCAGAAGTCGCCGCGCCAGACATGCATTCCTGTGTTCCTTTGGAAGAAACGAGACAAAAAACCTGCCTTCTCGTCAAAATGCTGCGATGGGGGCTTTACCAAGAGAGTCTGGAAAGGTTTGAAGATCAGTTTTCATGTGTTTCTGCCCCCTCCGTTCGTCCGAGAACGTGGCTAGCAGCCGTGAAAAGGGCGAACCAGACGCTGTCGAACTACGATTGCGTGTGCGGGCCACAATTTGTGGTCACCAGATGTATTTGCTTTGTTCCAACATGAACGAGAGAAAACCCCCAAGTTGTCCGGACCACCCACGGATTCAGTGCGTCTTCAAATTCACACGGCCGCCTGATCGTTCGAACTTTCGTCTGCTCTTTCAAAATTGTCTGCTTTTTGTCGTCTGCTCGTTCAAACAAAAGCGGCCCGTAGACCAAACTTTGACCCGGTGATTGCAATAAGAAGTAATTGCAGGCCTCAAAATACTTTAGTAGGCTCGGTGTAAACAGTAGATACAAGATGTTAATTATTGGTACCAGTGGCCATCACCTACTTGTTACGCTTGGTCTGTTCCCGCTTCCGATTTTCAGTACCGACGTCGATCATCGCCGCTACCTTTTACACTTTTGCGGCACGAGCGAGGTCGCGACCGAAAAGAGCTACAAGAATCTCATCATGGTTTTGGCGTCCATTCTGCGGCGTTCATGCGAATGAATCGCCGCACGTCAAATTAATTACGGAAAGTTTAGCGGCGTAACGAGCCTTGATAATTTCGCTCAGGCGATTGAAGTGGTAAGACATTGCGATGAGGACGTAGAATCGACAACTCCAACGCGAAAAAGAGTATGCAGACACACACAGACGCCGACAACGTGACATTCGAATGGTTTGTTGACGCGGGACGCGGTGCTTCTTGCCCGTACTCCATTGCGCGTGCGTTCGAACTGTCGTCTGCTCTTTCAAACTTGACTGCTTTTTGTCGTCAGTTCGTTCAAACAACAGCGGCCAGTAAATCAAACGTGGGCCCGGTACTTGCGGTAAGAACTAAGTGCAGGCCTCAAAACACTTTTGAAGGTTGGTTGGGGTAAGTCGGCTAAGTGTAAACAGATACAAGAAGTTGTTGGTCATTGTTACCAGTGGCCATCACCGACTTGTAATGCCCGATTCTACTTGCGGTTTTCAGAATCGATGTCCACCATCTCAGCTACGGTCCACGCTTTTGCAGTCCGAGCGACGTTGCGACCGTAAATAGCGAGCAGAATCTCATCGTGGGAGTCAGGCTTTAGCGCCCATTCTGCGGCGTCCACGTGAAATGAATCGCCGCACGTCGCATTATTCACGCAAAGTTTTGCCTCGATAGTTTTGCTGAAGCCGCTCAAGTAGTCAGACATTGTTAGGAGGACGTAGAATCAACAATTCCAACGCGAAAAAGAGCACGGGGACTCCCACCGACGCCTACAACAACGCAATTCAATGGTTTGTTTATGGGCGACGGCGGACTTCTTGCCCACCATCCACCGCGCATGCGCGGCGCCGGTGGCGTCCACTAGGGGCGCTCCGGTTTGTTTGTAAACATGAGTTGGTGTATACACAAAAAGGAAAATTACTAATGCTCCGCGAGGAGTCGCACCCTTTGTACTGCGGCTCCTGAGGTGAAAACGCGATTCATTGAACGCAGCTTTATTTTTTCTTTGCAACTCTCTCGCACTCAAAAATGTATCTTCCCCCTCCCAGCAGACGACGCCATCTTCAAGCGCGCCGGGAGAAGGAAAAGGCTCGGTATGGTCGCGCGCCATGCTTATGTCACGTTGTCGAAGAGCCGGCACTTTACAGACCATCGCGTTGGCGTAAAAATCGCAACCGACGGCGGCCGGCACGCTGCGTCCGCCGCGAAAAAGGTCTCGCTCTATTTCGCGCCACGTGAGCCCGACCCACCGTGGCCCGACCACACTGCTCCGCGCGCACTTGCCTGGCTCGTTGCACAGGCGCTGTAGCATCCAGGGTCCAGGAGCCTGGTAACGCTAGCGGCGGACTGTAAAGAGGCGTACCTCTCGCGCGCCGGGGCTAGCGTAGTTAGCGCCAAATCACCGCTGGCGGCCGCGCAGTAGGCGTCGGAATTAAGGTCCCTGTATCTCGGAAAAGATACGGGGCATCCTTTTTCCTCCTCCTCCAAAAAAGCCCTTCTTACCCCACCTCTAAGTTCCAGTTTGCGACGGAGGCGCCCTCTGGATGTTCCCAAGAGTCTCGACGTCTCGGTCAGCTGGAGCGGGCGGGATGTCGATCGTGTGGACCTTTCTCGTCATATAGGTGTGGCAATTAGCTCATTTAGAGCCCACATTCGCGTCCGACCGTCCTCAAGCCGCTCTAGATCTGTCCGTCCAACCGTGGATCCCAAGACTGCTTTCGATAATCGTCCCAATCGTCCCAATCGTCCCTACCGAGTTGCATTATCGGTCAGTGTCTCGTGAGTGTCCGCCCACCTTTCGGCTTCACAGGAATTGCAAGTCGTTTTTAATCACGATATCAAACCGCCAAATTGCAAATATATTCTCCACGGTTTAAAATGATTCACTACTTTTTTTTATATGTGTCATTAGCGAGCTTTCGGGAGGATTTGGCCTACGGGCGCTAAAAACAATTTGGCGGCCTAGAAAGCAAAATACTATTTTCTTTCTCATCAGGGAAGTGTTCATGTGGTTGGCACTAAGCTAGCATTTTTAAGCTGACTGCAGTACTAGTAATGATAAAATTCGCTACGTATTTCTGTGCCTGTGTATTGTATACATGCTGTAAAACTTTGCGACACCGCGGGCTTTTCGCTATAGGGCTTCGCGGTGCCGCTATACTCTTCCGAGCGTAACAAATACAATTTTCGTTATTTTATTCGATGAAACAATTTTAGAACTGAAAACTCCGTGTTCGTTTAGTTGTGTAACTCCTTAATGTTATCAGTGTCTGAATCTTCTGTTATTCGTTCATATTGAAAAAACAATAGAAATCCAGATTTATTACAATTCACGCTGCTTTTACACTCCTGGGCCAGCGTCCTAGGGCTAGAAACCCAGTGCAGAGTTGGGATCCAGCGCTCGGTTTTAGCACCTATCCGAGAGTAGTGTTTTTTTTTTGTTTTTTTTTTTTTTGTTTTTTGCAACTGTTGCACAGTCATAAGCTGGCCGCGTACAGCTGTTGCTATACTAAAATGCTGGAGATGACGTATGCGTTCACTGCGCTCTTTTTTACGTTCAATAAATCAGGTGCGTAGTGACACAAGCTGAAAAAGGACGCGTTCGAGCAGAAAGCTACCGTAGTATTTGCGAAACACTGAGAGGCTCTGGCGAGAGGCCTCATCGTCTCCACCCGTGCTCCGTGCAAACTGACAGTGTCTGATTTTCGCGTTCCTCCCTGGCCCAGAAAACATTTTCCGAAGGCTATGCTTCGTACATTGTTTTTTGCCGTTCTAGTCGCCTGCGTTGCCGCAACGGACATGGAAGATGGACAGGTTGTTGAAACGAAGCAGGGGCAACTGAAGGGACGGACACAAACAGTGTCCGGGAAAACGGTTCAAGTTTATTTTGGGATTCCATACGCAGAACCTCCGATTAATCACCTTCGCTTCCGCAAGCCAACACCCTCTAAGTCATGGTCCGGTGCTTACGATGCCACCCAAAAGAAGTTTTCCTGCCCTCAACAACTCTACCCATCGCTGGCAGACATTGCAACAGATCTATCCGAAGACTGCCTCTATTTGAACGTGTGGACACCCAGTACTGTAAGGCCGACGAGACCGGTCGTAGTATGGATTCACGGAGGAGGCTTCGCCTTCGGCAGTTCCTACGAGAGCGGGTTCAACGGTTCTCTGCTGGCAGTAATGCACGACTTGGTGGTTGTGACTATGAATTATCGCCTCGGTATTTTCGGCTTTCTAGACGCCGGTGTTCCAGACGCTCCTGGTAACGTAGGGCTCCTGGATCAAAGACTGGCTCTGCAGTGGGTACGAGAAAACATCCACGCATTTGGCGGAAACCCGACGAGGGTGACCATTTTCGGCCAAAGCGCAGGGGGTTACAGCGTGCACGCCCACATCATATCTCCCCTGAGCAGGGGCCTTTTCCACAGAGCTTTCATGATGAGCGGCACTTACGATTCCATCGTGCTGCTGGACACCTTGCTCGAAAGTGTAGACCGAGGAAGCCAGGTGGCCGCGAGACTCAATTGCACGGCACCGTTCCTTGATCTGAGCAGCCATCCGGACATTGTCTTAGAATGCTTACGCAGCAAGTCGACGGATGCACTATCCAATGCTGTGAAGAACGTAACTGACCCTAAACTTGCTTCGTTCGTGCCGACCTATCCGAACGAGTTCTTTCCTGTTCGACCAGTTTTGGCACTGAGGCAGGGTCGGTTCGCTGACGTCGACGCCATGGTTAGTGTCACGAGTTCGGAAGGCACCGTCATGGTGGTGTCGCAGCCAGACAAACGTTTCTGGGACGAAGATCTGAGCAATGTTTCGGTGGAGGAACTGAAGCCAGCTCTTCGGGAAATGCTAGTCACATTTATGGGAAACAAGTACATTGATCTCGTGGAGTATTACGCGGCACAGGCGGCGCAGGATAACAAGCAGGAGTTAAGGGAGATGTACACTGAGTTTTTTGGTGACTCTTATTTCGTGTGCCCCATGAAATATTTTTCCCAAAAACACTCGGGAAAGGGCAACTCGGTCTACTCGTTTGTGTTCGGCCACAGGTCAGTCAAGTCGACGTTGCCGGAATGGAGTGGCGTCCCCCACCTGGCGGACGTTCCATATTACTTCGGAGTACCTCTTTGGGACTATGAAAGCTACTCAGACGAAGACCGCAACGTCAGTCAAGAAGTTATGAGAGCATTCTCCTCATTTGCAAGATATGGGTAAGTTCGCTTTAAGTCAAGACGTTCTGGTCCAAGGGTTTTTAAAAAATTGGGATCTAGCCAACATGGCAAAATGATAAATTTCGAGGTAGTCCCGTTAAAAACGATCTTATTGAAACTGGTTCTAGTTGAATTTTGAAACCATTTTGTTTGCGCATTGCAACATGCTTTATTTATTGGACTCGATAAAAATTGAACTTATGGAGAAGCTGCTTTCGTCTTGCAGATCTGTCTTCTCAGAAACACAAAGATGTCTGTTGTGAATATTATGTAATCAGTGCAAATTCGCTCCTTCGTCAGACATCCAACGCCAGATGATCTTGAACACATACGTCACCAACAAAGTTTGAATATTAAATCGCAAATTGCGAATCCTTATTGCAATGAGGATTTGCGTCGCATCGTAGTGTCTACGGTTGGACATGGACCATTCAGTTATTCAGCGCATGGAAAAGATAACGTCATGGTGCCTTGCAATGATTCACCCTGGATTTGCACTAACACAAGACACCCACGCAGGGGCGCTACACCTTGGGTGTTAAGTGCTTCGTGAGTGGTGTCACCATGAACCCCGAGACATGTCGGTTCACCCACCCACGCCTGCTGCACGTGGCTTAACCAGTGTCCGGGGAGAAGGGGATTGTTGTGTTTGAGCTGAGCCCGGGGTACGTTCGGACCCTTCGGGGCCCTCCGGGCGAGGCAATATACCAATTCGGCCCCTGTTTCTCGCAGACAGTTGTCCCGGCTTGGCAAGTCAGTTGCTTTCCCCTCTTCAATCCCCACGGATCCTCCACTTTTATCCTTCCTGTTTCTTTTGCCTCTCTCTCTCTCATCTCTTGCTTCTGTTTAACCCCCTTTGGCGGTAAGAGCAAATCATGGGTGGCAATAAATAATCTAGTCTAAACCACACTTGGTATAGCGTCTTGGTAGCACTGGTAGAGCAGCATACTCAGAAAAGCCCGAACTGTTATGAGGTGTTGCCTCTCCCCTCGTTGGGCTCCGTGGTGTACTGTGTGCCACGCTGTCCCTAAACCTTAGCCATAGTAAAACACCTTGAGCCTGTACAGTATCCCAGATTTGTTGTTGTTCATTTCGAGTTGATGCATATATATATAAATATATATATATATAACGGGCATGGTGGCGGGAGGCGTGGGTATATAACTTCTCAGTTATATATATATTTGTATGGTTATGAGCGGGACACTGTTGCAATGGATGGGATATAGTGTTACTCATATCACATAGGACAACGCACCGACATGTTTTCGGAAAAAAAAAGTTTCGAACCCTGAAAAGTTGGATAAAATACAAGTTACATGTTACAAGACGCGACAAGCTACAAACTCGGTAAATTTAAACTTGGGAACTACAAGATGCAAACATTTACAGAGTACGACGTACCAACTTACTTCCGCGTTAAAAAAAAAAAAAAAAAAAAACAGAGGTTACAAATTTGGCTATGCATAAAAGTTACTGCACCACTCCCTCAAGTCTCCTTTAACAATCCTAAGTGACTACAAATCCAAAAGTACACCTGGCAACATGTTATAATAATGAGGAACATAAAAAAAACGTACCCTTTTACAGTACACTCTAAGAAAAAAATGGTGTAGTTGGGTGCATCAGGCGCTCATGCACCCTTTTCCTGAAAAATGCACCTTCCGTTACCCAGCCAATGTACTTGTACACCGACAATGAGCTTCCTCCTCTCCCTTAAAAACCTCTAGGTGTATCAGTGCATCGCCACGCTAGCCACGCGCCCCGATTAGCTTGTGCTTGGATTCCCCCTTGGAGGTCACTTTTGGTTTGGGCAGTTTCTTATGTCTTGCTTAGAACCGTTTTGTCGAATAGGCGAGATGGCTAATTCCGTTAAGATCGTCTCAGGGTGAAGAAGCAAAAGGCAATTTCGAAGCACGTACGTTACTGCGAGGTCAGTGTGCTCTGGAACAAGCCGATTGTGCACATGCAGACCTGACGTTATCTCTGAAATTAACAAAAGCGGAGTTACAGAAAAAGTTGACTTCTCGCGCGTGCAAAAGAAAAAAGAGATGAGCGTCGTAGCGCAAATAAAGGTGATTTCGGTCTTCGGTCATGTTATATACGGTGCACAAATTCCGATTGTTAGCGCCGGGACGACTAAGGTCTTCTGCGTCTTCTACGATAACTTCCATTTTTCAAAGTCCACTTTCTTTTTGTGTCGCAGGCTATGCTATGCCGGCGCGGTCTCTCTTCCTCCAGCTTTTATGGGGGTTTTCTTTGCTTTTTTTTTTATCTCTATCGTGTTTACTTGGCGTTGGAACCATCGCGTATTTTTCTTTGCCTTGTTTGGTTTAGTTTTTACTCTCTTTCCTTAGCTTCGGCGCTTGCCATGCCCGGAGATTTTGAGGGCCGTCTGAAACTTTATGGTTGTTGTTGTTGTTTTCTTTCACTGTCGTCTGCGATAACCACCCATTTTCGCCTTCAATTGAGTTTATAATCCAAAATATTCATATGTGCCCTTTGATATTTATTAAATATATTAAAAAGTGCAATTTCGTTATACATTTCTATTCGGATTTTATTTGTGTACGTGGGCACATCTGCTATGGGTCATTGTTTCTTCATTAACCGGCCGCCTTCGGGCATACACCAGCGCATACTAGGAGATGGTAGCCATGGCATGTGTTGCCTACCACTGCAAAAATATTGATATTTTTTGCGATATGGCGGAAAATTATTTTTCCTTTTCTCTAAGACCGAACAAACGTGAGTAATTGAGTCACTGCCCCATTCAAACTAAATTGGAAGAGCTATCCAAGTCTGCCATCAAAATCGCCAGTGACGCCTCTACAGACCAGTGATTTCCCTACGCACCCCTTGGGGGGGGGGGGGGGGGGGGGGGGGGGGGGGGTACACGCCCACCTTGTTTTTTTTCTGAAGGCACCCCCCTTAATTCGCAACGACTCCTCTAGTCTCAATGCCCCCCCCCCCGCCCCCTAAAAAAAAATTAGACACCCACCTAATTTTAATTCCTGGGTAAACCCCTGCTACAGACGATTATGACAACTACACGGAGATCGCGGGGAACTTTACGGACGACAGACCAGACGCACAACTGAACAACCAGTCTATATGGAGCCGGGTGGGCAGCCAGTCAGATCTGTCATCATGCTTGTCAAGTTCAACTGCAATTAGAAATATGGAACACCTCGAAAGAGATTTCGTTGAACAACGAGGAATATTCGCACGCGAACCTTTCGACGTACGCAGCTCGTCACCTAGCCGGTAACATTGTGCCTTCGACACACCAGACAAGAGTTCAGCTGAAGGCGGACTTGAGGCCGCTGATCGACGGAACAAAGGCGCGGTGTGCAAAGCTTGCCTGGACACGTACGTCAACAAGGTACGCTTGAATGTACTTTTCAACTGCTTCGCCAAGCGAGCAAACGAACAACCTGCAAAAGTCACTGGGAAAGGAAATGCGAAAGCAAAAAAGGTCACACACTGCTTGCACGTATACCAGATTGCAGCGTGCGACTCTTATTTTCGGGTAGTGTGAGCTGGACTACGATATTCCTTCCCCTTTTTTGTTTTTAGTTCCTACCAACGCCGCGAAAGCAACTAAGCAAACGTGCAACGAGCAGCTGAAAAAAAAAAAGTGAAGCTCTTTTCTTTTTTGATTAGTTTCGTCGTGTTGCTGCCGCTTTGTTTGTTGTGAACTCGACACCGACGGCGACCACTACCTGCGCAACGATCGTCGTCGTTGAATGAGCTTCTTTGCCGGGTGATTTGTATCTTTGTATCGTCCGCTAACTTCTTCGTTTCATACGCCGTTGCTCGCGACTGTGCCCCATTTCTTTTTATTTTCGTCTGGCATGGCGCCCCCATCTTTCCTGAGGGAAGGAGTATGCCGCAGGAGCAGTCTTCTACAGGGGCGAGGGAGCAACTCCCTTTGAAATTGCCACTAGCTGCGGACTGGGCACGGAGGTCACATCAGACACGGTAGAAGAAGCGGCTCTTCTGTTCACGTTGGGAGTATACGGGCACCTACCCGGCAAGACGAGAAACCTCCCGTGTCGCCACCGTGCGGCCGAAATTGGAAACGCGCGAAAGCGGGGATACCGCCGTGCGTCGTCTGCTACGGGCGCACGTTTAGAAGCATGGATCTCGACGAGGGAAGCCCGTTTCAGGCTGAGCTTGACATTCCTTATTAAATGTTTTCTTTTTCTTGCCGTTTCTTCTTACTAAAGGTTGTGTTGTATCGTTTCCCATGCGTATAAATTCAGCAAAGTGATTATTAATAAGTCGGAAGCTTCCATAATCTTAGAGTGTTGGTTTGTATACAACCGCTGGTCCCACGTATTTTTGTTTTCTCGCACAAACCTTGGCTTTCATGAACTATTAAATGTTGAGTGGGTCTGTGGTTTGATTAGAAAATTAACCCGACTGATCGGTATCCTTTAATGGACTAATCAGTCAATAAATCCGTATGTTGATTTTTCGCCGGTCATATTGCGTGAAAGACGTTAAAACTACACATTTTTTTACTGGATTTACTATGTCATAAGTGGCATATTGCATTCCCATTCTTAACTTCACGTTGTGAGTCCTACATAAATATGAACACGGGAAGGCCTTCTAAAATGAAGTATTTTTTAAGTTATTATTTAAACAGTATAATCACCCTCGGTGGAATGACAAGCACTCTGAAGTGGTTTACCGTGCAAGCCAGTGTCACAAAAGAAATAAAGACGCCAAAAATCTTAAAGCAGGCATTTTTTACTCCTTGACTTTCTCGAGCACAAGACTCCAATTAACCGGCAGAAAAAAAAAAAAGGTGCAATTAAAGCATTACTTGAATAATCTGAAAATTAATCGATGAACTGCCCAGTCGTACGTTAGGTGAGGGCGGAGGGTGATCGAAAAGTCTCGTGAAGCCTCGCTAGCCCTTATCAGTAAAAGAGTATCAGTGCGGCCGATGCTGCCAGTGGTGCGCGTCGTTTGTTGGGTTTGCAGAGTCTACTGTGCTTGAATGCAAGATTATTTAGCCAGATATTTATAGTATTAGCCTCTTGACATCTGCGGCCCTCACCAAAAAAATTGAAGCGGGTGAACCCACGCTACCGAGAAAAGCATTTAATAACAGGAACAGTGCTGTGTTGCTCGGTCACACCCGTTTATTACAGTCACGGCAGATATATTAGAACAGTTTGTTTCCCTTGTTTCAGTTGTCCTGCCAACCGTGCAGTTTGCAGATCTTAACTAGAAGAGACACTCTCTTCTCATCGCAACGCAGTCGATTTGTTCAGACTCCACAAAACTTACCCACACTATGGCCCAGTAAAAGGGCAGAGGAACTCAATAGCATGGTAATTTCCAATACGGTGCTAACTTATCTTCATTATAAATATTTATATTACTGCAAAAGCTAGAGGTTAAAAAAAAAGCATAGAAGCTGCGATTTCACAGCCCACAGTACCAGTATTATGTTATCTGGGTTGGAATTATTGTTTTTTTTTAATTGCCACGTTGATGAGCCAATACATCCATTTAAGAAAAAAAATATTTAACATAAATATTCCAGTTCAGCCGGAGACAGACATCAGTCGTGGTGATCCATGCTTTCCAACGTCTGCCTAGAGCAGACGACGCACCCACAGAAGCGATTATATAAATTTAGGCCGCACGCTTGCAACACGATTCGATCTTCACTGAAGCACCGAACAGTACCGCATCCTTTTCCGCTAGAATTGTTTTCCCACCGATAGTATGAGACAAAATAAACGCAAGAATATACGCCGTCTCGCGCGCGAACGTGGAGGGCCTATGGGGCGGCCGTTCTCCTATCCCCGCTTTGATGATGATGATAGCGCGACCGTAGCGCCACCTCTAGGTCGATCTCGAGGCCAATACGGACTCCCAGGAGGCGGTACGAAACATGTACAAGCTCAAGGCAACTGCAAGCCCGACGGTACACGCCTTCTTCGACACGGCGCTCAGCCTATACCGGGAGCACGGTACAAGAATCAGTGTACGATGGGTCCCGGGACACCAGGAGATCTCAGGAAACGACATGGCTCACGCAGCGGCACAGTGCGGGATGAGAAGAATTCCTCAGTTACCATCCCAACAGGCATCCAACTGCGAAGAGTCAGTCGAACAGCCAGAAAATACGGCATGCTACGACCCCGTCGAAGAGCTGCGTAGATGTCGCAAGATGCGAAAGATTCAGCTAGCGGAAAAGTGGCAACCCGAGGACTACCCGCTTCCGGCGAAAACCTTCAAGCGAAAGGAAACGGTTCAACTTCGGCGCATCCGTACCGAAGGCGCGGTCACGCCAAGGCTCAAGTACCACATCAACCTCTCGCAATTGCGACGGACGCAGCCGTACGCGGTCCCTCCGGACCCGCGATGTCAGAGATGCAAGGATCCAGAAGCCATTCCCAGGCTCAACCATCTCCTATGGGAATGCCAAGCTCTAGCCTTGTGCAGAGTGGAAGCCATCGAGACGCTACCCGAGGAAGAAAGACCCAAGAGACTCGTGGATTGAACGCACCCGCAGGGCGAAGCCCAACGCCGGACGAGGATCCTCCAGTCGCTTCTGGACTTCGTAGCCAAGTCAGATCTTGGAGACTCCATATGAAAACATCCCTCATGACCCATCGCACAGTCATCCCTCATCACCCATAATCACGCAAGAACGAGGCTGCCAGATCCGAGGATCACCGCGGCGCGGATAATCTTTCTATTCGTAGTTCTTGGTTTCCAATAAACGTTTTCTACCTACCTACCATCTTTCCTGCAAAGTTCGGAAACTGTTTGAACGGTCATTTCTATCGTTACTTTTTGTTTTTTTTTTTGCTGCAGCGGCTGGCGCTTGCTCTGGTAAAAGTAACAGGTTGTTTGCGCACGTTTTAATGATTGCCTGAATTAGAGGTCGTAGCTTGTTACTTGTCTTCTTCCAAACGTCGAGAGCGTATGCTTATGCAGCACGCTGGCAAAAGACTACCATAAATGTCATCCCCTTTAAAGGACGCTTAGGTTGGCCCCGTATTTGAAACGACTTTTATTCAGCAAAATATAGCAAAGACCAGACTGGCCAGGTAGGGCGATCCAATGGTTGGCCAGCTCTATCTCGACCGCCAGATCTACCATTGTTATCCCTTTCAAAATGTGCTTCCTACAAAATTCGTTTACTCAGAAGTTGGTCAGTGATATTTGATAAGAGGGTGAGTCAAAATCTGGAGAAGTCATAAATGTTGTGAACATAATTTTGATAGGCACCTTGATATAGTTGACCATTGTTTCTCCCGCAGGGCACCGAAGCTTAATGGCGTCAAATGGACCCGGCACACTCCCTGGAATCCTGCGGTCTTGTGGCTTCAGCCCGGAAATTACTCTACGCAGTACGACATCGGCGACAAAAACTGCGGCTTCTGGAAACAGTTTATGGAGTGATGAGATCCGAATCGATCACGTGTTCTCGAGAAGGAATAAATAAGCTTCCTGGAAGACTCTCAATCTTTGACCAAAAAATCATTAAAAAATTGCCTTTACCTCTAAATCCCTCTAATACATGACGTGCATTATTGAGGAGTAATCATTGAAGTTGGTTTAGGAGGCATTTTAAAAAGTGTTCTGCGGGAATGAAAGCACGCATTGTTCATTAACTGCCATCCTCCTCCCCTACAAGATAAACGTGCACTACGAGAATGTCAAGATCATTTCGTTTCCTTTATTCGGACTACTCTTCACGAGCTAGCATATCAAAGTTTTGCCAGTCAGCTAACGTGGACACTTTCTTCAACGAAACTTTTATCACAAGAAGCATCTCGGGAAATTTTCGCTGTCACCTCTATCTTTCGCCTCGACCCATTCTTGTTAATTACGTAATATCCACACTAAGCTAACTAGTATATAACATGAGATCCACAGTAAGCATCTCGTATTCCTGAAAGAAGGATCCGCTAGTGCCCGCAGACCTCCACGTGTCTACAGAGCTGCTTCTTTCCAGCCTGGACAAAACGTCCGCGATGTACACCTTTTTGCCCGGTACGCGTGAGATGATGAAATCGTACTCAAAAAAGCGAATTCTCAGTTGCTGTAGTTTCGGTATCGTTTCAACGAGACGCTTTGTCAAAAACAATGGCACCGGGAGCTTATGCTGCGTCTTGGCGTGAAATACCTCACTTAAACAAAAGGACAAAAGGGTATCTATCACCTTACACCCTTTTGTCCCCATATAATACAACGCAAAACTTCATTTCAACGTACAGCGCCCTATAATCGAACAAACGGCCCCACATTTTACGAGGGGCTTGATAACGGTGCGATATAACATATTAAATACCTAAAGTAAGTATCAAAGACAACATCAAGAATACACTGAGTTTTTGCAGTAAAACAAAAAAAAACGATTTTTTTTTTTGTAGTCAGTAACACGTACATTAGCTATTTTAATAAGTTATATCGCACCGTTATCAAGCCCCTCGTAAAATGTAGGGCCGTCCGTTCGACTATAGGGTGCTGTACGTCAAATCGAAGTTTTGGAGTACATTATATGATTTTATATCGGACAAAGGGTGTAACGATACACCCTTTTACACCCTTGGTAGGTCATGACTAGGATTCCAGGTTTTCGGTTTCTATTCTTTTCAAAATTCGGCATACTTCTTTTCGGTGTTTATTTTAAAATTAAACTTTCGGTTTTTTCGGCGTGTAATTATGTAACAAAAGTTTATCGGCTTTTTTCGGTGAATATAAAATAAACACCAACAGACATCGGGTCAGATTATCCTTGTAGCTCTGCTATTTGTGATCACTCAAAGAATAGTGGCAGAGATACATTGAAAAAGAAATGGACACTTTATTTGGCAAATGTGCGCAACTGTAAAAGAAAAAAAAACAGGAGTACAAACAAGTCAGATATGAAGCCTATGCCCAAACTCTTGGAACTTCACCTTCTGTATATCAGGATTACATGATATTATTATAGTACACACACACACATGTACCTTCCCAGGTTCTCCTCGTTAATTTGCACTCTTTTTTTACTGTTAATATGACACCGAGCTTCAAGAATGCCCTCTCAACGCTAACACTGGACACTGACAGGCTCAGGAGATGAAGCGCTGCCTGAGCCAAAATTGGCGGTCACAATCAACCAACTGTGACCGCCAAAAGAGACACGGTGCGACGTTTTGAAACACAACACAACATGCAGAGCTTCCATCAAGTCAGTCTTCCTTGCGAGCAATGTCCACGTGACTGGCGTAACGCGCCAGCGCAGCGCGCTTCTTGGGAGCCGTCCGGCCGCCCCGCCGTGGCACCGCCGTGGCCCCGCCATTACCACCGTCTCCCGCGTCCCCACCGTTGTTGTCGTTGTCACCGTTCAGGGTTATTGTCTCTCGGAGTCTCGTTCACATTACGTGCGCAGACTGATGCCGTAGTTGTGCAGACGTTGTCGAATGTCGTAGACGCCAAAAGATGGTGGAGAGTGCGGTGCAGACGACACTTGCGCCTGGCACATGCCTGCTCCAATCCCACCCGTCGTTGCGTAAAGGATCACGTGACATCTCGCCATGTTTTTCGCGGCAAGAGGCCAATGTTGCCGGACGGAGCTGAAGTTTCGGTTTCGAATTCTGCTCACGAAGCAAATGACATAATGCCTTTTGTTAGTGTCTCTTAATGTAAAAATCACTCATTATCCCGAAATTTTCCGAATGCTGAACAACATGACGCTTTTATATAAAATATTTTCGTAAGCCCAGAAACAATGGAGTAACAGAAACCGCTCACGACCCAGGAGCTTTATATTCAAGGTGCAACCCCAGCCCCACCATGCATACCGTCAGGCGTAATTTTTGACGGTTTATAACTTTTTTTCATGTATTCTACAGTCATGAAGTTCATTTTAAATTAAGTAACTGTTTCTTAACGATGCTCTAATGTCTCGATATTACCATTATTCTTAGCTATTTTTAGCTTTTAAAAGACCATTGTCTGATATTGAAATAGTGTCTTCTTGACTTATAACGTCCCAATGTCCACGATAATTTACGTGAACGGTCTGCTGGATATTGTGAATTAATATAGTAAGTAGTAAAATAGTAAGAAGTAAAATAATAAAAGAAAATTAATTTTTTAATAAAAAAAAATAAAGTTTAAAATACTGTTAATACTTCGTGCAATAAAAACGGAATCACGTCAACTAACGAAAATAACGAGACGTTAAAGTATGAAGTATCTTCCAATATTACATTTTTCAGAAACTGCACATCGACAAATTACACGTGAAGTTCAGCATTCAATCCCAAACTTTTCCCATTCAGTTACGGCAGGTTGCAGTTTTCTAATGTCAAACACAGATGGCGACACGTGCTCAAGAATAGCTTGATTTGCACTTTTCGTCATGTGCGGCTTGGAACGCCACGTGAGAGGCAAATGGCACTGGACGTGTGGGTGTCCGATGCCTGAATGCCCGCGGTGAGCGAACCTGAGCTGTGAAAACAACAAGCGCGAGGCTGCAAGTAGACCACAGCTGCATTTGCGCTGTGGTTTAGAGGACAAGAGGACTAGGATTAAAAGGGTCTTTTTTCGATCAGGACGATTTTCACGTTTTGTTCGGACCACATGTCCTGGAGACGTGAGTGAACTCATAGCGTAGGCAGCTGCTCCTTTGCACGAACGCAGATGCAGCGGGGCCGAGTTCCCCAGAAAGCTCGTGCATCGAGAAAGAAGTAAGCGGCCAGGGATGTCAATTTCGGAAGAAAATTAAAGAAAAATGCCACACTGTATCGAAGTGCTACCAGACACAATTTATTGTGTTCGTACATCGGTCTGGAAGGCGACCCCATCGCCATCGGTTCGGTAAGAATCGCACTAATCAAGCGTGGGCTTAGCGGCTGGGAGTTTGTGCACTTCTCCCAAAAACAGCAGACGGCCGGTAGCCTTCTCGCGGATGTAGAACAGGAAAGGTCTATTCACGGCGAAGGATCGTGGAAGGCTTTTTCCTATTCGCACTACTGTTGCGGCGGCGGCCTCCGTGCCCTCTTCGTTGACCACGATGACTGCCTTATGCTGGACCTCGGTTACCCTCAGCCCTCGTTCGCGAGTGATTCCCGACAGATCGGCGTCAGAGAAGATCGAACGCATACCCAACTTCTTCAGGGCAGGGACGAGGCCGTACTCCGTTTTCAACTCGAACTTAGGAAGTTGAATCTCGAGAGTCTCCTCTTTCAAACTTTCCTGGATTTTTTCTATGCTCTCGACAGTCATGGCGTCCCGGAGCTTGGCAAGTTCCTTTTTTTCACTTGGAAGTACGATTACCATGCAGTGTCTGTCCCCTTTGTAAGACAGTTCTATGGCTTCAAAGTCGGGTTCAGAGGTGAACGGTACATTTCCGTATCGCATCATGGTTTCTACCTTAACCTCCTCAGATCCCTTGTTGTAAAAAGGAAGGGGGGATGTATTGTTGAGTTTGAAAGGGGTCTTCCATAGCCCCTTGAAGTAAATGGCATTGAGGAGCGCCATTATGGTGTCTGAGGGAATTTCGAAGCCCGAGATCTTGCCTCTGGTCTTGTTCTTCACCCACTCGTTAACCTCGGATTCCATGGCAGACTTTTCTGCCACAACGTCCACCGACCGGAACATTGCCGCAAAGGTGTCAACAAGCTCCTTCTGGTAACTTTCGAGGATTTTCAGTCTTTTATCCACAAAGACTGCATTGGCTATCATGAAACTTACATTGTCATCAGTCTGCTGTTCTGCCAGAATCTTCTTGTAAGACTCCAGTATAGATTCTCTGCTGGACAGTCTTGCTGCGACGTGGCCGAGGGCAGTGGAAATTTCCGCTTCGGACTTGCCCCTGGCGCCGGCGTAGACCATGGCGAGTGCGACGGAGATGCTAGTCGGCGAAAGGAAAATGTTTGATTCCGGGTCTTTGCTGCACAGTTCCTTGAGAAGCTTGAGGGCAAAATGGTTCTGGGCTCTGGCGAGCTTCACGTTGCCATCTTCAGCATTGCATTCGCTATCTCCCGCTAGCAGGAAGAACACGACGAGAAACACCTTTCCGGCAAACATCTTTGAAACTGGACTTTCCTCCTGTTCTTCCACGTTCCTTATTGTGTGTATTTATTCATTCACGAACAATGGGCTTCTTCGATCGTGGAAACCTTCGGGATTTTAAGCCAATGAAACAATACGTATCAAGGTATATTTGATAGGTGCTCGTAACTTGTTCATCAGACGAGGATGCGCGGAACCCGTGAAAATAATGATGTGCAGCCTTCAGGCCCCAAGAACAGTCATTTTCTATTCGTATTAATGTGATACGTCTTCAAAAGATGTCATTTAGTTTACCAGAGCTTTTGTTACGTCCTCCAGTTGCTTGCCTGGCTTGTTTTATGGCGTCGTTAAACGGGCTAAATGGAAACCTTTTTAAGATGTACTCCGGTGTTTATTACATTTACAAGCTGAACCGTAAAAATTCCGGAGATTCGAAAGTGAACTGCAAGAACAATAACTGCAGCAGATGAGTTTGTGTGTTTCTTTTTTTTTTTTATTTAAGGATGTTCCACTGGCATTGCCAGCTAGGGCGACAGGAGCAAAACGCATGGCTTCCTACACAGCATGGCTCCCTACACGGCATAGAGTTCAAAGCAGTACAAGAGGTGAGGAACAGTCTAGGCACAGATATCCAGCCAGCTAAACAGAAACCAAAACACACAAAAAAAACTCGTCTGGAACACGCAAAAAAAAATAAAAAATCTGACGTACTAAAAAATATTCAACAAATAATTATGGTCTTTATTACATGCATAATGCAAAAATCATGTGGTCTTTCATTATCAAACTGTAAAAAAAAAAAAAAAAAAAAACAGGTCACTGCCGCATCCGTGGTAGAGTTGGGAGCGCAGGCTGCTGCCACGCGGACCAAAAGAATTAGAGCCCACTTGGCCGGGTTTTTCTTTATCTTAGCTTTTCTGAAAAGTTCAGCCCATTGACGGCTGTCATCGCATGTTCTGGTTGGGGACACTCCTGAGTGTACCGCGTGCATAAAAGCGGGCAACGCGCTGGGGCAGTCACCCTTCTGTCGCCGACGTAAGATGGTACCATAGCCTTTTTAAAGGGGGGCGATGGTAGGATTTGTGTACTTTCAGTAAATAATGCTTAGAAGTATTCCGTGATATTCAATACGTAGGAGCCTCGAGTTAGACCTGGGTGACCAGCTCAAGGATTTGCCCATGTACCGCTACAAAACTCTACTTTTGTGGCTCCTGGGCCGCACCAAAGCGGAATTTTTACTATACCCTAAAAGGGCACCATTGCTGCTCCCATACAGTGGCGTACCAACTTGTTTTTGAGCGGGGGGTAGGGGGGGGGGGGAACCAGACTCCCCCCCCCCCCTACCCCCCTTCAGGGCCGGGGGGCGGTGTCCTTGGTATCCCTTGGGCACCGCCGGCCAGTGTTTGCCCTGCCCAGTGGCAGCTGTTTCAGGGGGGCAAAACACATGCTTTGACTCCCCACTCTGAGACTGGGTAGGGGGGGGGGGGCAAGCGCCCCCCTTGCCACCCCGGTTGATACGCCCATACTCCCATACCTTCGCGAAAACGATGAAGCTCGCTTTCACCCCTGGAAATAGCATCATCCATTTCCCACCGGGTTGGGATGCTCGGAGCTTCAAGATTTTAATGTGCTCGTTAAAGGTGCGCTAAATAAGTCACCCACCTTCCTTCACCCATCTTTTATCCGCCTTCCCAAACCTCACCAGAGTAGCCAGTAAGGAGATACCTCCCGGCTAATCTATCTGGCTTCATTGTCTACATCAATAAAAAGTTGACCGCATCTCCACGTGGTGAATGATGTTGATTGGGGCGAAGCTCTGGTGGTGCTTGTCTGCGTAGACGCTGAGCCGCAGCATGCCGAGCCTTCCGTTTGTTTTCTTCCATGTCAGGAAGAGAATGTGTGGTATGGAACGTGGTTATATACGCATTTGATCATTTGACCGCAGCGCCCTCTCGTCTATAAACGTTGAGCCAGTGCATGCAAAGTTTGACGCGATTATATACGCATTTGACCGCAGCTCCCTCTCCTGTATAGGAGAGGGAGCTGCGGCTCCCTCTCCTCTCCGACTACTCGCTAAAGTGTCATTCGGTGAAACGTGGGCGTTCGCTAAAACGTCATTCGATCAAGTGAGTGCCTCCCTTTAAAAACATGGCTTCGGTTAGGGCAATGAACTTTTAAAGCTAACGGTAACTGCTCGATTTTTTTCTTTCCATATTGGTTTATCATTATAACCTAGCTTATTATATTTTCTAAAAATATTATCATTAACGCACTCAATTTAGTTAACTGCGATTCTTTTCGACCCTGTTTTTTTGTTTGTTTTTGTTTTACACCTTCAGTTGTCGCCATCCGGCTTGAGGAGCGCTGTGTATGCGCGATTACCGGAAGTGGCCTTGAGTGGAACCACTGGTTATGATTTCACTGTGATCCACACAGGCCCGCGTCTATCGTTGAAAAGGTTTTAAAAAGACGCGAACCCAGGCTTACGAGACGACGAGAGCGCGAAACGAAAAACGGCGGGGAAAACCATGCAAGACCGAATGGACCATTGATGCTCGGTACTTTGTGTCGGGCGGCCGCTTGCGCCACCTAGCTCACGCATGCTAAATTATGGTACTCCGCTTAGTTTCGGTTTCGAAAAGCGACCAAAATTGGTCTTTTGGCGCAGGCTTGGCGCAGATTACTCTTATTTTGGCAAAATGTAGCAGGATGTAGCAGGGTTAGTCCCTTGGCGCAGTTTGGCGCAATTGGCGCAGCAATCACATCACTGTAATCCTTGTAATTACTGACAATTGCGGAGGGAGTGGCGAGGGTCTCTGAAGAGAACCGAACGGGAAACCGGGTCGTCCCCCCAAGACATCATTTGAAAGGCGCCGTGAGAGTTGAGGGGTACCTTGGCCTTCAATTTGTTTCAATTCTTTTTTTAAATAAAAGCTAGCACGTGCAGGAAAACACGATTTTCTGTTTGCTTACTCTCGTCCCCAGCCACCTGGTGGCAGGCACGTAGCCAGGATTTTATTTCAGGGGGGGGGGGGGGGCTCGCCCATGACAAAATGCTGTATGAGGTGGAGGGTGGAGAAGAGGTCCCAGCAAAATGGAAGATTTTTTTTTTTTTTTTTTTTTTTTGGGGGGGGGGGGGGGGGGGGCGGCCAGGATGGGCCCCATGGCCCTTCCTGGCTACATGCCTGCCTGGTAGGCGACGAAAAAATAATAAAAGACTTCAATCTGCAAATGTAAAAAATAAATAAAGGCGAGACAAAACGAGAAGGGGTGACGCGCGGCGACGGCAAAACAATGTTTTCGTCCATACTGGAAGTGATGACATTCCAAGATGGCGGCGCCCCTGTGAAATAGGGCTACAGGTGACACAGATTAATTCCGCAGTTGCTTTGCCAACGTGAGAAAATCATTGAACCACACAAGTCCTAACTAGTTGGACCTTGCGTCCAGAATGCAGCGTTGTTCTTATTTAGACATCCTGCACCCAAACATTGTCTAGTCTGATCCCGGCGCCTTTTTTTGCAGTCATTTTAGGATGCTGCATTTGAATAAACTGGTGTTTTTATCTGATAATTTGAAGGAAGTTTTGACCTAATTAAACTAATTGACGCAGAGAGTGCAATATACGCTTGTGAAGCTCGTTTTAAGGACTTGATATTCAAAACGAACCATGGATTGTTGATAGCAGATCCTTAAAGAAGTACTCCGCCGATTTCTTCATGGTCCCTGATTTGCTTGAAATTTTGCTAAACTCGCCAAACAACATCGCCAAAATAGTATCCCAAATATTAGGTCAAAATATTTTTTTTTTTACGAAATTATTGAATTTACAACTTTGGTCCTCACCGTGTTTTTCAAACTAAAAGTCTGTACTGGCGACAACGATAAGGTGACGTCATTGGAAGTGCCGGGTTCACTCTTTGGACTGTAGAATTTGTTCCCAACTGATTCGAAGCACTTTCATGGTGTCACATGAATGCTTTGGAAGCTCGCTCCAGTCCCCGCGCTCCAGCACGGATCAAATGATTGGCATATTCTATTTTTTAGACTGCTCGCCCGACTGGCAAGCTTGCCTGCCACTGACGTCATGGCACTGAAAAGGGCGGGTATATTTGAATGTTGGTTTTTGCATCATTTTCATTTGCCGATTTCGCAATAACTATTATGAATTTCACGATACTAAATAGCGTACCAGAAAGGGTAAAGGCCGGGGTTCGACCAGGTTCGACTTTCTCAAACGACAAAGATTCGACTTAGGTTTGACTGCTATGCCCATGCGCGACAGGCTGGCCAGTTGGCTTCGGATTGGATGATGTTGGCTAAGGGATGAATTAAGGGCAGCACTGATGGGTTATTTCAGTTAATACGGTACAAAAAATTACGTTATTAACTTCTTCAGTGATTAGAATAAGTTCATTTTAATCGCAACTGTTGATAAAATTAAAATAACCTTTTGCATAGAGAAAATTCTCCAAACCACAATCGATGCTCCCTTGACGCCTCGCCTCTTTCTCATTTTCCTCCTTACTCTCCTCACTTATCAGGCCAACGTGACCAAATCAGGTGACCGTAGCTAGCCTTTGATCTGATAAAACCTACCGGACAAAGCGTGCGCAGGCCTGCAAGGAATCCTTCTAAAAGCAACCATCCATCTCACACGTGACATGTCACGCGCACCAATAGCCAGAGAGATCTACGGTCACGTTGGCCACAACATCGTTTAAACTTTTTGACTAGGCTTCACCAATATTGCAACGTGCCCTCTCCTAGTACTTCTAACCTCCTTGGGTTAAAAGTTTGAAGGTTCGTCGAACCGGTTCGAAGTAGTCAAACCTCGGAAATTCGACCTAAAAATCCGGTTCGACAAAAGTTAGCAACACCTCCAGTTAAAACGCATAAAAAAAAAACACACACAGTCGCTTGATGTTGATGTTTATTACGTGCCCAAAAGCTCCATGAAGGTTTAGACATTGGTGCACAGCAGAAGTCACTTTTACATCGTTATTACCAGAACC